GCCTGCCCGCCGCGCTCTGCCCGCAGTGCCGCAACAAGTTCCACAGCGTCTGTCTCGTGAGTACCTCCCGCAGCGCCCATCGCGCCCACCCCCCACTCCCCCACCGCCGCGCCTACAGACCCTCTCGCTCTCTGTTGCAGCGCAAGTGGTTCAAGACGCACGGCGCGCCCACGTGTCCGCTGTGTCGCAGCGAGTTCTAGGCGCCGAGTGTGAGGGCGTGTGGGCGCACACACACTGCGCCCACACGCGCTATCTGCTCACTTTATCACATCCACAAAAGTTCAATTTATTTGTAATGTTTGTACAGAAATTGTAAATTTTGAAATCATATGTTATGTGGAATATTGACAAAATCTAGTTGTTTTTAAATAAATAAAAAATATTGTAAGAGTAAACAGTTTTATTCAGATAAGATATTTACAATACCAACTATAGAAATAATGAGATCAAAGAATTACTTAAAAACTGGAAAAGAACAACAGCGGCCTGCAGCAGGCAAAGTGCACAACGGCGGGCGACAGCATTGTGCTAAAGGCTCCAGTTTCTAAATCATAATATTATGTTAATGACTTTTAATATTAATCGAGATCAAAAATTGTGCGCCTCCAACTCTACTGTTCTCATCGAAAACGCAAAAAGCGACACTTTCGGGATTTTCACTTAACTAAAGACATATATATCTACATAGCAGCAGACATTGGCCGAAAACAATACAAAGGTAGAACTGGAATGTGAACAAGTTATGTAACTGAGGAGGCAGCGGCTAGCGCGGCTGCGGCAGCGGCTGCGAGCTGATCCAGTCCACGTCCTCGTAGAGGCGCGGGTCGGCGACGCGCAGCGCCGCGCGCTTGTACCAGAAGTAGTACCACGGGGACACTGTCGCAACAACCATACATCACTTATTATTATGCATCAACTTTAATCTATGAATGTATCCAAGAAGCAATACTTACAACATCTTTGCAAGATGAACAGAATAATGAGGAGTGGGGTGGAGACCGCCCGGGGGTCGGCCCACTTCTCCAGCAGCCAGACGGCGTGCAGCGCGATGCTGGCCAGCACATACGCCGCGACGACAGCGGCCACAGTGCGGAACTTACGCACCAACACCTCCACTAGGCCCGCCTTAACAAGATGTACATTTTTTTTTATGAATGGTATAAAATTGATTTCTTTTTTTATACTTATTTAGGCTGAGGTAAAAAAAAATTGTCTTTAATTTTAGCACTTTCAAACAATACTCACTTGAAACAAATATGTGGAGAAAAATGTTATCAGCATTATAGTGACAGAGAGAACTAAAAATAAATCTTGAAATCTGCAAAAAAATGTAATGACATGGACTTTAATATGTGTAAAGATGAAAAAAAACTGTTACTGTAAACCATGGCAGAGATTTATTGAAGCTAGGATTAGGTATGCAGCAGTCTGTCAGCAGAGAGTTGGTGCTACAACTGGCCAACAACCTCCACTTCAAGCACCAAGCTGTGCTCCAAACGGTTAATACTTGCCACTGTTAGTCATATTAAAAACATTTCTATAAATGTGTATGTTCTGTAAAACTAAAAAAAATTCTATGTATACACCAGATAATATCCTGTCCAAAATATTTTCATTACTCATTACCAATCAGGCACAATACTAATATTATAAACACGAATCTTTCGGATATATGGCTATAATTTTTGACATATTTACAAGCAGCCACCTAAATTTGCAAGAATATTGTTGCTTTCGTCTACCCCTGTGAATAGCTAGGGTAAAGCTAACTGCTTCCCGTTTTATATTTTAATAAAACTGAGAAATAACTACAATACATACATAAATAGCACAAGTAATCCATCGCGGCTCTTTGAAAACAAACTAATACAATTAAATATAAGATCGCAAAACATAAAAGTAAGTTGACTTAATAAACAAAATGTGTATCTTGGTGTTGACAATTTCATTATTACTTCATTGAATATAATCTTATCAAATTAACCTCGGATCATAAGGCTTACATCGTTAAACATTAATTAATAATTATAGAATAGAATGATCGGACTTCGCTGAACATGACAAAAATCAACTGTCACTGTCATATTACTCAAAGAGTATATGTTACTATCATCATCAGCTCACTATACGTCCCCACCGAGGGGCTCAGAGCCTACCCTAAGTTAGGGGTGATTATAATCTATAGATTTTACTATGATCTATACATATTCATAAAATTGAAATGTATGTTTGCATTATCGAAAAATTATTTAAAAATGTTGTCTGTCTGTCTGTATCCTTGTCAGTCCGCTAAGCCATATTTGTTCCGAGTAATCTTCAGAACGGCTGGACCAAAGAATATATTTAACATACTCTATACACAAAGATATCTTTTATAGTTATAGTGTTATTGTTATATGTTGTTGCCAATATCCTTTATTTTCAGTGGTACGTGCTACCAATACCAGAACAAAAGTGATAAACAAATGAGTTAAATAACATAAAATTTGTAACAGAAAACAATGTTAACATTTTACACAATATGTTTATTTGTATTTAATAATATTTTACCTCACATTTGACTATAAAATTCTTTTTAAAACTACTTATCAAATGTTATATTGTTGTGTTCAACTGACAGTTGGTTTCGCGGTATAATAAAAGTATCTGACTTTGAATTTTGCTATTGTGTTGACGTTTACACTTTTAGCTGATTAATTAATATTAAAATATGTAACATTATTGTAATCAACGTTGCGTTTAGATTTTAGAGGGGTAAGTTATTCGTGCGATATTTTTTTCCGCACAAAGTTAAGTCTAAATCTGTCTATTATCAACTTCCGTCAAGACAGGAAAAGGAAGTATGGTTGGTGATCGAAAAGATGGTGCTGTTTCTCTACATCCTTATCCTGTCTATAACTTTTGAGTAAAATGAATATTTTAAAAGCGCGAAATGAAACTTTTCCGAAAATTGCGTGGGCTGATGATAACATTTGCTAAATAACTATAATAACTATAGAGTCGAATGTTTTAATGTGCAAAATGTCTTGATATGTACATTTTGTTATAAGGCTATAGATTTATTGTAAACTATTTACTGAATTTGCTAGTTCATAAGCCATTATAATACATTATCAATTAAAAATGTCATTAAGTCATCATATAATTCTGCTACTAAAAGTAAAGTAGTAATTTCTTATTTTAAAATAACCTATAGGATCTAATCTAAAATCAAAATTATTATTTTTATTTTTATGGAATTATTCCACTAATATGTTATATAACATTTTTTTTAAAATTATATTGGTAGTGCTTATGGTTATTTCAAGCAAAAACTGTAAAATCCTTTGCATATGGAAATAAGTATACAATATACAAACATGAATTAGCAAAAATTATACTTAAGGAAAAAATGATGTATTACTGATGTAAGAAATATTTAGTTCATTTGTTTTTAGAAGAAGTGCAAGCCCAATAATTATGAGAGGTTTACTTAATTATCATTTCAAAGTCAAGCCCGACTTGCAATACTTGCATGTGCATTGCATATTGCTTCCTTTTGACTTGACCCGACTGACAAGAGTAGAGGGTAGTGTTTTTCACAGATATGTAGTATTCTACATACATTTTAAAACTTATTAGTTTATTTTAGTATGTTTGTGTGTCCATGCTCTGTGTCCACACCGGTCAGCCTTCAGTGGTTTTTTTTATTAATTTAATTATTACTATACTACATTAGGAAGCCAAATTTTGGAAAAGTGTTTTCTCTACATGAATTACCTCTGAGTATAAATTGATTCTGTACCATTTAGTTTTATTTATGTTTTTTGTTTTCACAAGCAATTTATGCAAATGCCATCAAAGAGACTGATTAATGTGATGATTTGTACACTTTTATAAAGTTTAGTCTAATGTTTAGAATAAAATTATTGTATTATTACACTTAAACTAGAGAAGGCAAGAAACTTATATTGAAATTTAACAAAATGAAATGTGCAGGTGTGCCAAGATGACATCAAATTTGAGCACGGATGATCTGGTTGTGCAAATCACTGCACCACAAGTTATATCGGTAAGAAAATTAATAAGCTCTTTTCGGCTCCTCCAGATTCTTTCGTATAATATTGTTTGAATATAATGAGAAGACTCAGGTGGTCATTCTGTGACATACAGGAGTCGATGAGGAAGTCTCACAGCTAAGATTGATAAATCTGCCAAAGTCAGCATACGACTTGTCCTGTGCAGGCGGAGGTGGCGGGGGCCGCGGCGGCCGCCGGGGGTGCGGGGGGCGCCGAGCTGGGCCGGCGGCTGCTGCTGGCGGCGCGCGTGGGCGACACGCCGGCGGTGCTCGACCTCATGGTCAAGGGCGCGCCCTTCACAACCGACTGGGTGAGTTCCTACTGCCAACTATTTATTATATGTCACCACGTAAACATTTTCATATTGATTTCTCTGACCGATAAAGTTACATCTTCCGCGAGATGTCTAAACAAGTCGTAATTTTATTCGTCGGGGAGTTCGATATAAACATATTAGCAAATTATTGGCATCTTTTAGTTTTCGTCATATGTCGAAGAGACGTAACGGTATTTTCATTTATTTCTGATAATATTTACGTATAACAAAAGCAAATTGTCGTGTATATTTATATTATAATTTTCTTAAGAATTTAAGAATGATAAAGTTTATAATAAATCAGTGGCACCGGCATAACAATTACCCCTACAGTTCCTGCAAGTATAATAAACTGTAGCAGCACCTTCAACTGAATGTTCAAACAGTTGAAATATTTTTAGTGTTGATCAAAGATGAAAATCATTGAATAGAATGTGAACATTTTATTAATTACATATTTAAGTTTACAAGGATGAGAAAACTACTTTCATATATATACTTTTTAAATATAAATGTGCTTGTATTATTATCAGCATCACGAAATCTCTGATTCAGCCATGATGTGACCCTGTAGTAAAAGTAGTAACAGGAGCAGTGGTAGGTCACGCCACATCGGTGAGTGAGGTGGCGTTAGTGTATAAACATCTAGTGAATGTAATGTGGGCACGTCAGCTGGGCACCTCGCCGCTGCACCTGGCGGCGGCCAACGCGCACGAGGAGACGTGCGCGGTGCTGTTGCGCGCCGGCGTGTCGCGCGACGCGCGCACCAAGGTGGAGCGCACGCCGCTGCACCTCGCCGCGCACGCCGGGCACGCGCGTGTCGTGCGCCTGCTGCTGCGACACGGCGCCAACGTCGACTGCAGGTGCGCCCTTCTTTCTGAACAACTAATTGTATAGAACCCTTTACATACCTGCGATACGTAAAACAAATCAAGACATAAAGGCGAATAAAACATTGTGCTTGCTAAGATTTCCATGAAGTGAAAACTCGATTACAAAATCAATACCGACTCGTCTCAGCCGTCGCCCACAGCTCCGCCCGCGAGGAATTTAAAATAAGTTTAGTAGCTTTATTTGGTTTTTCCAGACTATGTTCTACGTCTATTCCAAATGTTAGCCAAATTCGTTTAGCCGTTCTGGAGATTCGAAGTGTATGTAAATACACTTCACCACACAAATTTAACGCCAAAGCCACAGTTCGCCCACACGTAAGCGTCCGTGAGACAATCAAATATTATTTCATGATCGATATTCATGACAAAGACAGCTTAGACTGTATAGTATAGGTAATCAAACATAGGTATTAATGTAATTGGCTAATGCAAAAGATGAAAGTAACTAGATTTTTTAAGAAGCCGCGGCATGAGTACGCACGCCGACTTGACTAGCGGCGCAGTTGCGGTAAGTTGCAGGCGGTTGCAGAGTTTTGCAGCGAGCTTTGCATTGCGTTGCAGGGACATGCTGCAGATGACGCCACTGCACTGGGCGGCGGCGCGCGGGCACGAGGCGGCCGCGCGCGCGCTGCTGGCGGCCGGCGCGGACGCGCGCGCTCGCTGCAAGTTCCGCAAGACGCCGCGCTGTCTGGCGCTGCGGGCGCGCGCGCCGCGCCTCGTTCGCCTGCTGGACGACGCGCTGGCGCAGCAGGAGCTCGCCGCCTCGCTGCGCCCCATCGCTCACGGTCCGCACGCCCCCATGCCCCCATGCCCCCACGCTCCTCGCCCCACACCCCCACGCGCCCGCACAAAGCTCACACTTAGTTTCTTTTCAGACGATACTTTGGCAGAGGAAAGCACAAACCAGAAACATTTAGAAAGTGTAACACGTGAGTATGACGTCATTCATCATCTCTTACCATGTTGTGATCAGCGCTAAATGTAATAGCAGTAGTAGCAGTGTGTGGTGTTGCAGGTCTGCAGGGGACCGACGCGAACAAACTGAAGAACGCACAAGAAAATAATGTCAGAGCAGAAATTAAATCCGAGGTAAGTACCTCGTTTCTTTGCTTGAAAATATTCTACAAAAATTGTTTCATGAATTTTTTTTAAGTCATTAGTGTTGATTTGTTTTTTAATATTTTTTATAAAAAATATTGTACTTTGCGCAAATCTAACGGAGTCCAATTGAGATACAAAGTTGCTTTTAAGTTAGATTTTAGGATCAATGAAATGAATGAAAGTACGTCACCATCTAACATCAGGCGATGACTGGATCCAACGTAATCAAACTAATAAACAAAATTAAGAGGTTCTTTTATGAATTTATATTATTTAGTATATTTAGAAACGTAAATGACAACATTGCACAATTCTGAGCAAAAAAGGTTTTTTATTGTCGTAATACATTGGAAATGGATTTCAATTAGCATATGCGTTAGATGCGGCAAGGGGGCACGGCGTGTGCTGGGGGCACGTCGGGCGCCGGGGGCACGGCGGGCGCCGGGGGCACGGCGGGCACCGGGGGCGCGGCCGAGGCGCTGCTGCGGCGGCACGGCATAGCGCTGCTGCCGGCCGACGAGGGCAGCACCGTGCTAAACGCGCTGCAGAGCGGCCGCACCGTCGTCTTGTCTGGTAGGCCTGCAACCTTCTGTCCTACACACTACACAACATTGTACCTAAGCTTGCTTGGAGATGTCAATTGTACCCCAGCTCATCCGCATGTAAACGTGACGAGTCAATCTGTTTACAGATGCTGGGAAACTAATGCTTAAAGAAAGCGGCGTCGGAAACGTCAATGGCACGGGGGGTGCGACGGGCGCAGGGGGTGCGGGCGGTGCGGCGGTCGCGGGGGGTGCCCCGGGTGCGGGCGGCGGCGTGGTGCTGACCGCGAAGGCCGTGAAGGCGGCCGCCGGCGCCGGTCTCAAGGTGTTCACGCTCAACAGCCTGCCGGGTGCGCCGGGTGCGCCGGGAGCGCCGCGCAAGCGCATCATAAACCCGAAAGACCTGCAAGTCGGTCCCATTTTATTTAAACCTACGTTTCGACGATTTGGTTTATTTATCTTCGTCGGTCTTCAGATGTTGTCCGCTCAAGAAGCGCGTGATACTTTCAGCAAGTGAAGATCGTGCAGCTGCCGGCGGACGCGCGCCTGGTGCCGGCGGGCTCGGGGGGCACGGGGGGCTCGACGGTCGCGGGGACACGCGGGGGGCGCCGACCGTCGCAGCGCCCGCCCGTCAAGATTCTCATGAAGAAGAGCAACTTCGAGAGGCTGATTGCGACCGCCAACAGGAGCGCGCTGGACGCCGCTAGCGACGCGGAGGTGAGTCGTTGTCGAGCATCACCAATCTCCATTTAACGATTACTTTGGCAACTGACGCCTATGAAATATCGATGCAATTTTGAATAAGGATTAATGTCGGACTTTAGTGTATATAAGGATTTTTATTTCATTTACTTATCAAATGTAAAACTTAAACAAATAGTGCGTTATTTATAATAAATGAATTTTGGAAATTAATTATAAAATAAATATAACTGTTAATTTAACGAAGTAGGAACAGATTTATTGTTCGTTTCTTGTATATTATGTACATTAAAATAATGGATTATGATTGGAGGGCGGAGTGGCGGCAGTGTCGGCGGAGGGCGCGGCGGGCGCGGGGGG